TTACTTTTCTATTCATTTCTTGTACTCTTAATTTTTTCCTCTAAATTACTTCAAAATCTAAGTTACTCTAATACTCACCAATAGAAGAACCCTATGTTATTGTTTTGAATAAAATTTATATATGTACACACAACACAATAAATGATACATCTTGAAAAATCTTATCCAAAAAATTGAATAAACTCTTTGGCTTAATCCCTGGCTCACTTATCACTCTTGTCAAATAATAATGTCAAATAATAAGCAGAGTTGATGGTATGATATAAAAGGACATCACTTGATGAGCAGCTATGAAGCTTGTACCCATTGACAGAGTTTGATCAACTCACATAAGTGGAAAAATTAAAAGAAACAGCTTTGTTCTTTAACAAAAGTATTGATAATATATGATTATTTACTATTGTTGCATCCATTTCTTAGCCCTCTTCCGCCTCCACCTGTGAATCACCCTCTTCCGCCTCCACCTGTGCATCACCCTCTTGTGCCTCCACCTGTGAATCACCCTCTTGTGCCTCCACATATGCATCAACCTCTTGTGCCACTACTGCTAGTTCAGGAGCTTTTTCAATCTTTTTTTTATCTTTTTCAGATGGCCATAGACTTGAGTTTCATTAAGTCCATGGTTATCAGCAGTCAACCTTCCCCAATATATGTTGCTATTCGCATGTGAACGGGTAGAGAGAAGCGGGCTGTTGTAAACGCAGTGTGCCTCTCCGTGGTCCACACCCGACCACCTCCGGAAAATATGCCAAGTGCTCGAGCAACATTAGCTTCAACATCAACTTGAGGAAGTACCACATCAGCTTGAGGAGGTACGTACCACAACAACTTGTGCTACCCTAACAACACGAGGAGCATCATTCGAGCTACCCTAACAGTTTACTTATATTCTAATAACTTCTATATACGCATTCAAGAAAACTATTTACTAATATTGATTTTCTTTCTAATTCACTTTGAGTTTTTATGAGTTGTAATACACTAATACTCAATAACATTTATCCATAATATCGAACATTTTAGCAATACAAATACATTCAAGTTTTAGCATAATATCTTTTGCTAGTTTGAAGATTTCCGTAGAGCCATTCAAAAGATAAAGATTAGTTAATAATCGCATTATTCTTTTTATAATAGTGATATGTTGATGTTGTTTGTTTTGACAGGATAATGAGAAGTCAAAAGCTTACCGCTGGAGCCAACAAATCATGGAGAGTGTGAATGGTAACGAAGCATATTCTGATGCTTGATAGGAAGCACGCGTGCCGACTGTGTAGAGATTGCAAAAGCCGACTGTGTAGGTCTCGGGTATACACCATAGCTATTTCGAGTTAAACCCTAGAAATATCGACACAACTATGGGTAGAATATAAACCCTAGAATATCGAGACAACTATGGGTAGAGATTGCAGAAGCCAGTTGTGTAGGTTTCAGGTAGCAATATTGTGTTATACCATGCCACGAAATGCTTGTAAATGAATGAGCCTTTAGAAGACATGAGATCTAAAATCAAGGAGTTAGGAGGTGATGAGAGTTTGAGTGTGATTGACAATTTGATGATGGAAGCATATCCTCATAAGCTTGAAGCTTATGTTTTTCATGTTATCATGGAGGCATGTTAACAGTATTGCTGTGTAGCAAGACTCTTCCCAATGGTAACGCATATTTGAATTGATTCTGGAGCCACATAGTTGGATTATAGTGTTTTTCGAGATGAATGTGTAAGAATGATATCTTAAAGATGCTCTAGAAAGGTAATAAAAAAACTTGTATTAAAATACAAAATTATTTTCGGATCGTCTTTCCATTCTTTTTTTTATATAATATTTACTGGTTAGTTACACATCACGGGTAAAAGTGAACAGACAGGTTAAGTTTTCATTACTTAATTGGATGTCTTTAGATTTTAAATAATTTTATTAGAAAGAAAAAAATAGCTGTGATTTTGTAAACCCTAGGTATTTTTCCCTATTTAATCAACGTTTCACTGTTCAAAGTTTTCATATTTCTTCCCTACTTTCTCTCTCTCGAATTTTTTTTTCTTTCCATGGTTGAAATCCAAATGGTTGATACTGATCAAGTTGCTAACATTCCAGTGCCCAACGTTCCAGCTGTTAACGTCTAACCTAAGCCAACGTAAGCTTGAACGTGGTGCTGCATGGTTATCTAGAACGATGAGCTATTACCACATGAAGATAAATTGGATGGTAGATACCTATTTGATGCAATGCCATACATAATGTCGAGAACACTTTGTCTCGTGACGCAGACAGACCTGAATTTTCTATGTCCCACAATGCAGGAATCGTGTCTTCCTTCTTCCCCATGAACCAATGAATCTTATCCGCAACTTCCTTGATGGTTTCAATATCTGTACCAGTTCCTCCAACTTCATGAACGTGGTGCTTCATGAATCTTATGAGGTTACTATATTTTGCTTCTCATCTTTTTAGTGCACATTTTTGGCACATCTAAATCTATGCAACAAGAAATCATTGCCTTTGATGCAGATCATAAGTTACAACATATGCAAAACAATAAGTATCGCCTTGCTCAACTCAAATGACATCTATGTCAAGAACATCTTTGCAACAGATTTACTTGCGATATGCATTGTATGACATTATTTTGGAGAAGTCATTTTTTAAATTGCTTTTTTTCAGTATTAAAACACTCATTTTTTCTTTTTCTTTTCACGTACTAAGGAAACTTTTGATTTGAATTTGGTTATTCTATGTAACCACTTGAGGGATGTTTTCAATGAACATTTCATTGGTGCTTCAATTAAGCTTACTGTTGTTGGTCAATGTAGTTTTTCTTTTGCTTCTTGATTGCATTCTCTATACATTTGATTTGATACTTATGTTTTTTTTCCCACAATCTTTTGATAGACTTGAAAGATGGGTGAAAAAGTTTTTTGTCGATGTTCTATATGGGCCCAAAGTTGGATCGATTGAGTTTTTTTATCGATGTTAAAGGATCAAAAAGCACTCCTGAACTCAATTGACCTAGCTTCGGGGACATATAAAATCCCTGAATAAATATAAACTAAAATATGTTAAAGTTATAAATTCATTAGAGGTTTTATGGTGGATTTCACCTAAGTTTGAGGATTACTATGTGAAGCAGCCATAATGGTACCCATCTCTACTTCTAGGTCATGGTAAGCATCTTGTCTTTTTTGTTTTATTATTCAGTGATGATTTTTGTATCGTAGTTTAATGTTATGTTTCTTTTGCAGAGTGTGAAGGATCCTTGGCTTTTTTTTTCAAGAGTGAAGGTTGGTACTAAACGACACCATTTTGGTTTTAGAAATGGTTCCGATTGGTGACATTGATAATAGTGGTGTAGGACAAGATTTTGAATTGGTATGGAAGATAGCGGTACAAATAACTATAGTACGTAATATAGCATATTACATTACGAATATAAATGATCAAAGTAAGTGTAATATCTTTTTTTGATGATGGTGTTCTTATTTCGTAATGTCACTTTTGTAAAACTCTTATGATCCCTTATATATTATTTGGAAAGTGATTTTGGAGAAAACGCTTACGTGCTAACTCCACAATCATTTTCACCAAAATAGTTATGACATGGCTTTAAAAATGATGACATGGCAAAAAATTATTAGAAATAAAACTAATCCCTTTTATATTATTGGGACAATTGCAAAAATGTCAGTCTTGGTGTGTACATTTGCAAAAATAACACTATGGACTGTCCATTTACAAAAATGCCACT